CCCACATGGCGCAGCAGACCTCTCCTGACCCGCCCACTGTTCCCCTCAGCAGTGGACTTCATCAGTCAGCCTGTTCCGCTCCCCACTCTATCTCTGGTGAATCCTCTCACCACCCCTGCACCTCTAGCCTGTACCCCAGTTGTGTTTACATAAATAAATAAATCTTTAAAAAAAAGAAAAGAAAAGGAAACCTGAGAGTAAGTTTAGAATGGGAGAAAGGTCTCTGGATCCAAACCCAGAAGCCCCACTACAGTGTCATGGTTGTGATGCTGGACCAACTACCTGTTACCACAGTGACGATGCATAATTAAAACCGCATGCACCGGGCCCGCCCTGGTGGTGCAGCGGGTTAAAGCGCAGCACTAAGAATCGAAAACCACTTCCGCATGAGTTCAATCCCCGCCTGCCCCGGAAGTGACCCACATGGCATGGCAGACCTCTCCTCACCCACCCGCTGCTCCCCTCAGCTGTGTACTTAGTTGACCTGCCTGTTCTGCTCCCCACTCTGTCTACAGTGAGAAGCATTAGTTTCTGCTGAGGAGCCCATGGGTCAGATGAGCATTTCTGGGGCTGAGCGCTGGGCAGGCCACTTGGATCCAAAGGCCGGGGAGGAGGCTCCTGCATGCTCCTCAGTGAGCTCCCCTGTGTCTGGAGTTTCAGCTGAGCCTACCGCCAATTGAGCTGTTTGCTGTGAAGTCACCCACCTGGCACCAGGCTGTCCTAGACTGGTGCTGAGGACAGGGCAGGCCCCCTGGGGAACCACAGAGCTAGCCTACAGGCGCTTCCTCTTTGTTCGGTTGGCCAAGACACCAAGATGCTCACCCAAGGTGGGGAAACTGAGTCCTCTTGATGGAAATCTGCAGTCACCTGCAGTGGAGTGTGTAGGGAGAAGAGAGAATTGGGGTCTATCACAGGTGGCTTCCTTCAGTGCCTCACCTGTAATCCACAGGTAGGTGTTCAGCCTGAGAGGAGAATGCAGTGAGCATACTTTGAAGCTAAATTTCTGCGGGTTGGCTTAAGGGCTAGCCCAGGTGGTACAGGAGTAAGCCCCAAAGAATTCTAACACTTGTATGTACTTGCTGGTGGTCTCCCAGGGACATCTGTTTTTCTAAAATCAGGAAATACCAGATAGCCTGCGATTCCGAACCAACCTTAGATGGTCCAATCCAGTCGCTGCACCCCAGCCTGAAGTCAGAGGTCTGGTTCACAGTGACTGCTTCCCCCTCTCCCCCCCCACAGAAGTCACAGAAAACTTTAAGGCCTTCACATTCTCTCCGGGAATAAACTGGTCTTATCCCTTTATGTTGAAAAGTGTATCTTTGTACCGACCATAACACCAGGCTAGGTTTTTGAGCCATCCTCTCAAGTTCAGAACTTCATCTCTCCATGCTCCAAGTTGTGAGCATGTCTTAATAATGTCCCTGGCGACGGCGATTGGAAGGCAGCATGAGTGTTTGCTAAGAAAAATCTTCCTCTGCCAAAAAGTCAAGCAAACACTGGTACTGAACGGCCTGCGGATACATCCCTGCCCTGCTCAGAGCCACTTACACTCACGCCCGAGTCAGAGGACACACTGTCTTCCTCCCCTGGCGCTCCCATCACTCTTCAGCCAGGACACCCTCCTCCAAGCCCTCTTGCCCCCTGCTGACTGCACTCTGGACAGGGCAGTGGTGCTCAGAGAAAGGCCCCAGGCAACCAGGCACAGACCTTTCCAAATGAAACCCACAGGCATCCAGCCACCAGCAGCCTCTTGCACTCAAGACTCTGCTAAATGCCACTCGAAACGCTGAGTGACCTTGGATAGCGTCAATTATGTCATTAATCAACAAGAGGAGACTGATGGTTGTTTTCACCTCCGCCTGTGCTGGAGCGATCTGGGCATTGGAGACCTGGCAATGGATGTGTGCAGAGTGTGTGTGAGGGCCGGCGCCTCACTGTGTGGGGACCAGAACCCCGGGTCTGGGTTTCACTATGAGCCTCAAAGAGGCCAGACCCTTGTGTGGGAAGAGTCCCGAGCAGGGTCCAGTCTGTGACTGGACATGAGACCCCCACCTACCTGCCCCACCACCCCACCCCACCCC